TATTTTAAAAAATGTGTTAGGTTTTGGCCTGTCAGTATGCCTTGTAAGTTTTCATTGAGAGTTGGACACGATGAAGTGGGTAAAAGGCATTGTGGCAAAAAGAGGCCCATGATTAGGGCTGTCTTCTACACAGCCAGTGCTCCTGTCTATAAGCATCACAAAAGCTTACCAGGAGTTTTGGGATTGAGATTTTTGTTTTCACTCCCTCAGATTATACAAAATGCAAAGGGTACAGCCATTGACTATGTCCTTCTCCCAAGTGCAAGTCTAGATGAGGCTGTAGTTGAGTATTTCTCTTCTCCCAGCTCAGTTGACTCTATTAAAACCCCAGTAGATTAGTTTCTGGTAGCAGTTCCTCTTGAGTGCAGGCCTAGTTTAGAAGGATAGAATGCCTATTTCTCAATGGTTCCTTTACCCCTGGCCCTGCCAGAAGCGCACGGGAGTATTTCTGTGTTGTTGAGTTCCTGGTTCCAGTTCCTGGAGGTAAAACTTACAAAAGGATGGGGACCGCTCAATAACTGAGCTCCTCCTGAGATTTTATCTCACAGGCTGGTGCACACGGAGCCTCCAGCAATTCATCAATTAAAGTTCCTGTAGCAGTTCCTCAAGGTTGCTGCTGGGGACTTCTGGCTCCAGTATCACCATTATCTGCATCTGCCTGTGGGTTTCCCAATGTCCAGGGCAGAGATTTATCCTGTGATCTCACCTCACTAATGAATCTAAGAGGAGCTGTTTATTTTTTGGTTTGTTCAGCTTTTTGCCTGTTAGGGCACAATGGCAATTTCTACGCTCCTTACACACTGGCCCAGACATGGGCCATAAATAACTGTGATTTTTCTATCCAGAGCTCTCTTTGTTGAAGAGTCCAGGGCTGACATCAGTTTTGTGTTCCCTGGCAATCCCTCCTTGAGATTTCTTGGCCTCTCACAAACATCTTGCACCTGGACGGTACACAGAACCTGAGCTCTGCCAGGCAGATAATAAGGCAGAGCAAACAGTACCTGTAAATAGCACACTTGTCCCAGCCTGGACCCTCCTCCGCCCCAGCCTGTTTGCACTGTCTGACTTATTTGCATGCCTTACTATCTTACTATTGTCATTTTATTTAGGTATGTGAACAAATACCAGCTTCTTAAAGGGGGCAGCTTGGTTGAAATAGGAGTACAGAGTTCTGTCTGCTTGGTCCATTTTCTTCACTTTGATAATATAATGTGCATAATATATGTGTCCCTGACTTCTGAGAGCTTGGTTTCTGACTTCATGCTGGGGAAAATGTGATGTGCATTTCATACAAACAGTTCTTTTGGGCTTTGTTCTATTCACCAGCTAGAAATAGGAAATACCATGCTCTCTGGCAAATGTGGACAGTTGGTAGTACAGTGGCACTGGGCACAGCCCCATCAGCCTGGCCATCATAGGAGAAATCATGTGCATTTTATGTATCTGTTTATTCTGTGTTCCTCACTGAAATATAAGTCCCATGAGGACAGGGACTTTAGCCTGTGAACCACTTGACCCCCAGGCCTAGCAGACTGCCTGAACCAGCCTGCGAGGGCTCTTTCTAGTTCTTCTATAGTTCTAATAGTTTTCCATGTGCTCTCTACCCGAGCTCTTCCAGGCCTCTCAGCAAACACCTGTCAAATAAGTGAGTGAATCCATGAATGAATATATCCGTGAATAGGTGGATAAATTAAAATAAAATACTGCAAATTGTATTTGCATGAATATTTTTAAGCTTCAGAAAAAGACTAAAGTACTACTTGGCATGTCACACAGCTGTGTTGGCATTTCTTTCTTCCCAATGATTTATTTAACGGATCATCAGTTTCCAAATGGAGTAATCAGATAATGACTACATGTAAAGGCATTGATTCACTCATGAAGAAGCCTGCACTTTCAAAAGAGTGTGCACAGGACAGGAAAAGGGGGAGGTGGGAGGAGGAATTATTATGATGCAAAAGAATTCACCAAACTTTTCCAGAGATCACCTTAAAAATTCTGCCTGACTGGTTTCTGTTTTAGATTTTATTGATAGATCTCCAATATCCATATTTAAGGTACTTTTCTCCCATAAGAAGAAAAAAAAACTATGCTATTTTCTAAGATTCCTTTTAATTGTGTAACAGACTGTAGCTCTCAAATGCTACCATTTGTGATGGCTTTAAGAGAAGACTTCACAAGGGTCTGGAGACAGCAGATTGAGGAATCATCAGTTACTTCTGGTTGACAAAAAAAATACTGTGCAAGTCTAAAAGGGGCTTAAGGTTAATTGATATTTGGCAAAATGAAGACTACTTAATATATTTTTCTTGCCACAAATCTAGTACATTGGATTGACTTTTTGATCCACATATCAGTACAAGTCTGCCTATCACCTCATCTGCTCACACATCTCAGTTTAAATGTCCAATCCTAAAGCAGAAACTAAGATGAATGAGGAAGCCAGAGGGTCACAGGACTTAGAATTTATTTTTAGTATAAAGTACTTAAAATACAAGATATATAAAACAGAAAACCTGAGGTAAAGGGGCGGAAATACCCACATGAACACAAAAGTTACCATGGGCAAACATTGGAAAGTACTAATTTATTTTTTAATTATTTATTTATTTATTGGAAAGGTAGAATTACGGAGAGAGGGAGGGAGAGGGAGAGACATAAAGAGAGTGAGAGTGAGAGAGAGAATCTTCCATCTGCTGGTTCACTCCTCCAATATGCTGTAACAGCCAGGGCTGAGCCAGGCTGAAGCCAGGAGCCTGAAACTCCATCTGGGTCCCCCCCATGGGTGTCATGGGCCCAAGGACTTGGACCATCTTCCACTGCTTTCCAGGTGTATTATCAGGGAGCTGGATTGGAAGTGGAGCAGCCACAGTGTGAACTGTAATGCTAGCATATGCAATGCCAGCATCACAGGTGGCAGCTTCACACACTGCACCACAATGTTGGCCCTGAAAGTACTAATTTCTATAATGTATTTATGCTTATTGCTAAGCAAACATATTTTAGCTTTTCTTATATGTATACTTCTGCATCTTATTTATTAAATCAACTTATGGAAGGATTATCAAACCTAAACAGTTAGTGGTTTAAACAACACATGGGAAGCAGGCTGTGTTAAGTGGTCATTTAATTGATCCTTGTTGCTGAGAATGTAGAATTTGTCTTTCCTTTGCACTCTTGTTAATGTTTCATTGCACATTTTGGAGACAGTTTGTTGCTGAATTAAGTATAATATTCTAACTCTACAATCCATCCAATAGAATAATGGATCAAAGATTCAGGGCAATTTTTAAAATTTCCATTTCTTAATGTCTGTCCCATGCATTTTGACCTTCTATACTAGAAATGCAAATCAGGCCTGAATCCATCATGGCAAGGAGGTCGCCACCTGCCCTTGACCTCACGCCTGTCCACAGCAGATGAGACTGCGTCAACCCAAGGAAACCTTCTTCTTTTGTCCTAGGACATTTTTCTTTGTGAAACAAAAACTGCGTTACACTTCTCTGCAATGTATGTGGGGTCAGAACCAGAGGAGGTGCCGAGGTTGGCTGGGATCATGTCATATTCAAACCACAAATGTGAGGGTGAGGACACAGAAATACAGCAATTGTGAACCTTGCAGCCCCAGCCAGGTTGCCTGGAGAGAGGAGGCCACATGGTCCCAGGAACAGGGAGGGCTTGAGCTAACTCAGGCAAGCCCAGAGTGGGTACACACCCTACAAGAACTGGCTGCAGTTCACCCTCTCACAGTCAACTGCTTCCTGAAGCTGAGTGCATTTCTGCTCCTTATAACCCAAGATCCCTGACAAAGCATATGTATAGTGCCAAAAGCGACAGTTTTTTATGCCTAACTGGTTCCAAATTCTCAAGAGCCTCCAGAGAAGCCACGGGTATTGGATACATGATTACTGCTTAAGGATGACATCAGTTTAAGAGCCATTTATTCATATGTATTCTATAAACACACACATATGCATGTATGCATGCATATATACATATATGGAGACATATACACATATGCATGCATCATGAGCATCACTTTCTGATGGAAGGACCCAAGCAAGATCTGAAGACCGATGTTATGACCTGTAGGCAACACTCAGTATTCCTTTAATGTCCATAGTGAGAAGCATAGGAAAAAAAAAAAAGAAAATATGCAACTGAACCTTGAAAAGTAGTGTGAAAGACAGTGGAAGACACTTAACCACAGATTTGTAACCCATCCTGGAGAGACTGACAATTAACTTCCTGAGAAATGGTCAGGCAGGTGGATGTCCTGACATTAACTAACAAAGCATTATAACACACCCTTATCAGGTTAGCCATGGTATTTCTGCATGAGACCTGGCAGATGGGTGGCTGTGGGGAGAGGGGACACACCTGTTGTCGTTGCACCATGTCAGGTTGGTGCTTGGCCTGCCTACAGCCCCTCTGTCAGCCAATCACAGGGCTGGGTCATGTTCTCCCCATGCTTCTGTCCAATCCACATGGCTTTCGATTTCCACCAAACCAGAGACCAGCAAGTGCTCCTGTACATACAGCGCTAACTTAGCCTAAGCCAGACACATTGCATAGGGCTTGTTTTTCTGTACTATAGGATTGAAACATATTCTTCAGGCAGCTTGCAGTTATCCCTTCAACTCACACTCTCCCAAATTTCCTAGCCAGATTTGGGGCCCGGGACAGAACAATCACTCAGATGAAGGGCTCAAGGACTAAGATGGATGGAACAGAAGTGGCTTGAACCACACAAACCTTAGGCCAGGCTCTGGATGGAAGGGACAGAAGCTAAGTGCAGGGGGGAAAGACAAGAACCTTCCAAATGACTTTGCCTTGTTCAGGGGCCCCTCTCTGTCCCCACCTCTGCCAGCTCCTGGTCAGATCCTTCCTCTGTCACGTCTCAGAATCTGCTGAACTGCCTTCAGAGTATCATGGCTGAGACGCACCCATTCATCTGCCTCTGAATTCAAGGGAAGATTCACATTACTGATTTTTCTTACCATGAAACTTTTATTTTCAGGAACAAGTAAATTGATGTTCATCTTCAATTCCCCACATAATCTCATTCTGTGTTGATGTGTTCTGTAAGTTACACAGCTCCACTGTGGGCCAGAAGAGATGTAGTTACTGAAATGTAATATAAAAACCAGGAAAGAAAAACTAGTGCCACGCTCTCTCACCTCATTTCCAAAGGGTCACCCTGGAATTTATCCTCCTCAGTCGCTTCTCGGCTTTATCTCACCTGGGGGCAAATCGTCAAAGGTGCTGTTCGGAGATACCAGAATTAATTTTCTATCAATAATAACATTCCACTTTATTATATTTATGTATTAATTCATTCAATTGTTGAACAAACATTTATTGAGTGACCTTTATGTACTGGGCACTGAGCCCAGTTGCTTAAGGGAAAAGATACAGAGTTAGTAAGATACAGATGCTGTCTCCTATTGGGAGAAGGAAAACACTCAGAGGCAGTGAGCCTGGGCTGCGGGTGGAACCCGGAGCACCAGGATGGGCAGGCTCATTCTCTTCCAAGGGGAGCACAGGAAGCTCGGTAGAGATGGAGTGTCAGGTTTGGGGTTTGCAGAGGGAACAAGGACCCATGGAAAGCCCATGTTTCCACCAAAGCGAGGGAGATGGGGCTTCTCCATTCTATCAATGCCACAAAGCTCGGTGCCAGAGCCTGGGTGAGGGTGGGGAGCAGCAAGGTAACTGGGGGAGAAAAGCCACACCCGTGGAAGTGAGACACCAGGGGCTCATCGCGGGGAACCACGAGCATCGTGGCAAGTTCTTAACTTACCCCACACAGATCTAAAGGAGGCCGTAGGGCTGGCGGTGCTGAGTGTTCCTGGGCCAGTGTTCCCTGCCGGTGGCAGAAGTTAAATGGCAGATCTGGCAAGTTATAGGAGGGGGCTCTGGATTCCTGATCTGAAGGCGATAATAAGGATTAGGAGATAAGAGTCTGTCATGCTGCTTTTGAACTACGAGCCTGGACAAATGAATTATCCCTCTCATCTTCTATTTCCTTGTTTGAATCTTCATCATGAATTTGGCTGCCTTGATTAGGTAAACATCGCAGTGACCTCTCTTGTGCGCTACCCTTGAGGAGATAAAGTAACCTGTGATTCTTGCTGAGTCTCCCACCCCTTTCCCAGGCACCACGCCTTCACCGGTATCGACCCTGAGCTTTGCAGCTGCAAAAGCTGAATCTCGGTGTCTGAAGAATTAGACCTGGTGTCTGGCTCAGTGAGTGTCCACCCTCTGCCCAGCTGTCGGTGTGTGTTTTTAAGCAATGCAGGCCGTTTGGGGGATGTTGGAGTAGTGAGAAGCTGAGCGGAGAACCACCAAGTTGTTCTCTCACAGTCGGGTTCCCAGAATGGGTTCCAGTGGGTCCAAACTCCCCACGGCCCTGCCTGTGCCAGTCCTGGCTGCCCACAGCCATTGGCTGGCAGCTTCCTTCTATCTCCAAAGCCCACAGTGCAGCCGTCCGATCTCTCCTAAGACCATGGCATCGCCTTGTCTGTCCTTGTAGTCAAAAGTGCTGCTGCTTTCCTCTAAGGACACTTGCAGTGACAGTCAGAACCCACCCACATAATCCAGGGCATTCTTCTGTCTCAAAACTCAACTTCATCAGCATCCTCAAAGGGCAGGGATTAGGACCTGGGCATCTTTGGGGGCCATCATTCAACTCGTCACTGTGTGTTTACTGAGTAAAACCAGGGAAGCCCCAGAGCACAGCCAGGACTAGGCTGAGTGGGTCAGACACTCAGAGCCCACAATTTCAGGAGACTCTCCCTCGGCAAGATGTGCAGGCTCAGGATCTCCCAAGACGGAGCACCTGTTTAAAGTTCCTGCGCTCAGTGTCTAGCTCACCTCTACCTTAGTTGGAGAGCCTCTGTCTTGGAGTGGATCAGTGCCCCCACCTGGCAAAGCAGTGGTAGAGCAAAGATGGCAGGCAGCCAGAGAGCAGGCTGGAGACCATCCCATGGAGGTTCTGCTGAGTCCAGCTGCTTTTGCATGAGTTTGCATGCCTCTGTGTGTGTGTGTGTGTGTGTGTGTGTGTGAGTGTGTGTTGGGAGGCAGTGGGTGGGAACAGAGCAGCAGACAGGGAGGACAGCTTACTGAACGGCTTCCCACAAGTTCAGGTGTCACACCCCACCCTGGTGAGACCCCTGAGAACAGCAGGTTTTTCTCAGATACAGTCAGGCTAGTGGAGGCCTTGCCTTTCTCCTGGGAATGTGACTGTGGGCCACAGTGAACCACCAAGGACCAGAGGAGCAGCCCTCTAGAAGGTACATGTGCTTGGGAATGCAGGATGGGAAATGCAAGGGCTGGCAGCCCTGGGACTTCCTGGGGAACAGGAAGTGCAGGTGCTATGCACCCTTCACCTGCATCCACAGCACGGTCCCAGGGCCCATTTGGACCATGATGCTCCTTTCCTCCCACCTGGCATCAGCAGCACCGGACAGCTGCTTGTGTGGCTTTCTTCTGAGCTTCCTGCTGGTGGTGGGAAACCCAGTGAGCACAGCATCCTCTTCAACAGGCCTGCCTGTCTCCTCCTTGGGGAAGACACACCCCGTGTCTTCCTCCACCCTCCTTGTCCTCTCCCTCACACACTCCCAGCCAAGAGGACAGTGACTCACGCTAATTATACAGTAGCAGGGGAAAAAAGAAAACCACAGTTTTTTTTTTTTTTTCCAACAGCAGCTGGGACTTTCTATTTATTTGCCCACTATTTATAACTCCCTTAGACAAGGAGCCCTTATCTCCTCCTCCCACTCCACTCCCCCAAATGAAATTTCTCTAGGGCGGATCCAGTTTTATCTAAATTGGCCAGACAGAAGAGCACAGCCTATATAATCCATATGGAGCCAGATAAGGCTTTCTCCTTGTACTTGATATAAAAATAACCAACAAGCAAAATGAGCATGGATAGGGAAAATTAATTTACTTCCCCACCTAATTAGTAGATGCAAGATAAATGTATCTGCTTAGTGCCCCAATTATAATAATACTTAGCAGTTATGTGAATCTCTTCATCATCAAAAATACCATCCTCTACTGACACTAAATAATTAATCTCCAGGCCTGGTGTGAGTATCTTATCTGAGCAGGGGAAGGACTGTGAGGTTGGAGGGGAGCAGGAGATGCGGGTATCACTGGGCAAAAGCTGCTCCACAAGCTCCGGGTCCCTGGCCTCAGGTCCTGGGTGCTCAGGAATGATCTGTCTGGACTGCTGGCCCAGTGACAGGGGGAAGTTGAGTTCTTGGTCTCAGAGCTGTGAACATCTGACCATGTTGCCAACCTGCTCCTTCAGCACTGAATGGGACCTGTGCTGGTGCAGAGGGGGTGGAGTCCGGGAACCACACTGGAGGAGGGCTAAAAGCAGATGAATGAGCTCCTGTGGGCACCTGAAGGCTGTTCATGAACTGGCTGCCCTGCTCCTGACTCGGGGTTCAGTGGCTCAGCCCTGCCGGTTCTGTTTGTGCTGCAGTGGGATCCAGCTCCTGGCATCACTCACATCAGCTCAGAAGTCCTGATAAGGACTGTGACTCCCACACTCATTGGATAGCAGAAACTTCTTTGCCTCCAAACTCTGTGGGCTTCTACTTCCTGCTCCTTTAGATTGAATGCTTGAAACAGGCAAGATTTCAGCTTCAGGCCGAGTGAAACCTGATGCTCCACCCTCCTGAAGGCTGGGTTGCTGTCTGCTTGCTATCCTAGAAGGACCTCTTCTCCTGCTCACTCCTTCCAGCACCTTCCTCAGCCTGCTCTTCTCTAGCTAGGAACTCTCGGCTAAAGTGGAGTCTGACCCAGGCCAGGACCTGGCTACGGACAAAGGAGAAGGTCAAGGTGCCCTGCCCAGCTGCCTTCCACACTTCACACAGTCCTGCAGCTCCTGAGGTCCTGTCACTCTCAGACATCAGAACCATATTAGCATAGGAAGGAGGAGGAGGAGAGGGGGGGAAGAGGAAGAACAACTCACTAACTCAATGCAACATCCTTTAATAGATATTCAACAGTTTGTCTAAAGAATTAAAATGTTGAAATCAATTGCTAAGGGCTTAATTTTTCTGACTTTTAGAAAAAGAGAAACACGCAGTCCAGCAATAGAGTATCCATAACTGTGAGCTATTGCTTATCTTTGCAGCCAAGGGTAGGAGGAGGGGAGATCATACAAAATAATTACTGCTTAATTTGCAGCTTTATTGTGTTTTATTTTTATTTTTCTCTACTTTTATAAACATAATAGGTACAGTTTAAATTTAAAAATTGTTGAAGCTCAAAGCTACTGGAATGGGATAAGAATCATAACTTCTAATTATATAGCTTTGAGGCAATATAATTATGCAACTTTTTAAAAAAAATAAAGCAATGGATCTCTTTCTCTTTTATCATTTTCTTAATATTGGACTTTATACTTCAACAAGGAAAAAACCTAACTTCTAGATCTTCACCAATCATCACTCTACAGCTCAGTTACAAATGCATTTCTCCAGAAGGGCATTCAGGCCAGAAGCTAAGATGCTGGTTGGGACACCTACATCCCTCAGGAGTGCTTGGGTTTGTGTTCTGGATTGCTCACAATTCCAGCTTCCTGCTAATGCACACCCCAAGAGGCAGTAGTGATGGTTCAAACAGTTAAGTCCCTGCACCCACTCGGGAAACCTGGACTGAATTACCAACTTCTGGCTTTGGCCTGGCCCAGCCCAGACTGTTGCAGGTATTTTGGAAGTGAACCAGGGAATGAGAGTCATTTTCTTCGTCTGTCTGTATCTCTCACTCTCTCTCTCATCTTCTAAATAAGTATTAGAGAAATCCCACTTGTCTGGTTAAGACATGTGCATTCACCTGAAGGGGAGGCAATGAGACACATGTGTTTGCCACATCTCAAAATATGGCTGTGGGTTAGGGACACTTATCCCCATTGCACAGGTCAGAATCTACACTCAAAGCTTCTGTCTGATGCAGCTAGCCACCACCCGGCTCTGTTTGCCACCCAGTGGACCAGTTCAGAGCATCGGCCCAGGATGGAGATGATGACAGAACATGTCCCTGACAAAGGAGACACCACACAGAGTGCCTCTGAAGAGATCACTGAGGCCCTAGACCATGGCAGAAGCATCCACCGGCTCCACAGGAGACCCTGGCCCACAGTGACAGTTTCAAGGGGTTCAGTTTTCACTGGGTACCAAAGGGCAACTACTGGGCTTCTGTGTCAATGACTGATCTGTGGGTGCCATCTTCTGCAAACGAACAGACAC